AGCTCAATAAACTTCTACTCTCTTCTGTATACCTGTGTGCTTTGCGATGTTCTCCAGCAGCAGCGGGTACTTAGTGAGCCTTTGCATCTCTGTTGGAATGATGTCCTTGAGCTGCAGCCTGCGGCACTGGGGTTTACTCTCTGCATCCTGAGATTGGCACAAAAGTAAGAATGATTCCTCTCATTTGGCTTCAACATCCGCGAGTGCATCCATGCGTGTTTCACTGGTAAACCGTTAGGATTTGGTTTCGGAGTCTGTGTTCACACCTGTATGAAAGCATTGAAACTTTGATCCTTCTTCTGCTTGCTTTTGAGCTGGTCCAGGGCCCACGTCTGGCGACTGCAGAACCGGGCTGTCAGTTTCTGAAACCATTCTCCTTCTGGACCATCGAACTAGAACACACATGCAGTTAAAGCGGCGAGTTGTGCTGGGACATGCAGAGTAAGGCAACATGGGACAGAGCCAACTACTCACTCTGCTGAGCAATGTGGTGCTGATGGATTTCACAATGTAGTTGTCATCCATACGCAGCTTTTTCAGGCATTCATAGAAGTTATCTGAGATTCAGAGATGAACAGTTCCAATTGTCATGAAATGCATCAAAATTACAATTAATCAACTAAAGATAAAACTAGAGCATGGATACAAATGTTGGTGTCCTTCAGTTAAAAATATGATCTTAACATTTTTCTGTTTATGTGAACTGTGTGTTCCAGTCATTTTTAGATAGCGTAGAACATTATAGCAAAGCTGGAGGTACAATGATAAAATACAATAAAGTACTTCCTTGTTTTCCTCCCGTTTCTACTCATCCAGCCCCCGAGATCAGAAAGTTGAGTTGTTTTCCTACCGTCTGCACTATTCCTAAAGCCGGGCGGACACTGTGCGACTTTTTCACTCGTAGCACTCATCTTCAGCTCAAACTGTACAACTTCCTCGCAGGGCAGATCTCATGAGCCATGTGCTCATACTGTACGTCTGGTAGCAACACGTCGGACAAGACCCTTTACTGTGGTGGTGGTTGGAAGGACAGGTGGCTCCTGTGATTGGGCAGCTAGCCTGTGGCTGTATCTCCTCACGCTTAGACTACTGTCACTCTCTTTTCACGTGTCTGAGCAGAACCTCCCTGAACCGTCTACAGGTGGTTCAGAACGCCTGTGCTCGGCTTCTGACCAAGTCCTCCAAACACACCCACATCCACCCCGCTTCTCCTCCAGCTTCACTGGCTGCCAGTCAACTTCAGGGTTCTTTTCAAGATCCTGGTTCTTGTCTATAGGTCTTACATGGACAAGCACCATCTTACATTGGTGGTCTTCTTAGTCCCTACACCCCCAGCAGGTCCCTGAGGTCCAGTGATCAAAGCCTACTGGTTGTGCAGCACCAGGCTAAAGGTCAAAGGTGACAGATCATTTGCTGCTGTGGCCCCCAGACTCTGGACCTCTCTCCCCCTGAGCCTGAGATCAGTGGACTCAGTGGTCTCCTTTAAAAAGCAGCTGAAGACTCACTTGTTCAGGCTGGCTTTTGTATGACCTTCTTCACCTCTCTCTTTATTCTGCTCTCCCCACCTATTCCACCTTCCCCAGGATCCACTGATTTCCCTCTTTCCTATTCACTCTCTCTCTCTCTTAACATTTTTTAATCACAATTGTTTATTTTTTGCTCATTTTAAATATATTTTTAAACATTGTCTAAATGCTTTTTTATATTTTTACATTTTTTGCTTTTGTTAAGCGCCTCGTGATTTTTATCTTGAGAGGCGCTATAGAAATTATATTTTCTTCATCTTAACAAGCAGTGTTTAATTTTCATTAAAATTGTATTTATGACTACTTTTGCCAGTTTCCGTGTGTTTCATTGACCATCGTAGGTTTTATTGTACTCGTGTGTGTCGATAAAATCAGGGAAAACTCACAACATCATTAAAAGAACGATAATCTGAAAGCGTTGCCTAATGACTTATCTATTACTACTTTGTGGTTCACCCAGTCACACTGTTCACTAATGAATGAGGAAGAATGGGCTAGTGTAAACATAATGTGCAACTTTCACGTGTTGTGGTCAAACTGCAGGACTAACAGTGAATATCGATGATGTCATCAAGACTGGGAAAGATGGCATCAAGCTCAATGGGGCTCAGGAGCTCCTCCCTCTCCAGCGGTTTGGAGAACACCGTCTGAAGGACACTCAGCATCCGGACGTGAGCGTGCTCCGTTGCAAACAGCTCTAGGTGAGAAAAGACGAGGAGCCGAATGAGCAAAGCAACCTCCTTAGTTTTTTGTCTATCTTTATCAGACGTTGCACCATCTCACCATTTATCACCTCCTGCCTCTTGATCTCGCTTTTGCTGAGGTGCTTTAAAGCGTCCGGAGTTGCCAGCTCCCTCCAGTTTGGTGGGTCCTGCTCAAACTCCAGGAGGCGGGGCTCCATCTCCTCCAGCTGAGGGGAGGGGCTTGTGGGCGACGGGCTCAGCCTTTCGGGGGTGAAAGGTGGTCCCTCAGTACTGATGCAGAGGAGAGGAATTAGTTCAGGACAGCCACCGTAAATCAACCAAGTCTGACCTAGGCAGCTGAAAGTAACGTGTCACTGAAAATACAAGGTCAACGGGGAGAGTCCCATTATTCTAGTTATCGTTGTAGCTGACAGTAGGTACAAGTAAACCTACCGAGCATCTGTGGCTAAACCCAGGCTATGGAATAAATAAAATGTGTCTTTTAACATAAAATAAACAAATGAAGTAAAAGAAAACCAAGAGAAGGGTTGCCAGTTCACAAAAGGGGAAAAAAACATCCTTTTACACTCATATTGTTTATTTTAAAATCATTTCTAACCACTTGGAACAGATCAATCCATCCAGCTATGCTAACCAGAACCAAACTCAATAGCTGAGGCTGAGAGATCAAAGTGCAGACGCCTGCTGCACACGGTGGCTGGTGAGGTGGAATAAGGAAACACTGTTGAGTTAGAATACATTTCTAACTGGAGATGGCTTATGCTAGTACATCTGGAACCCCCCATTTTCTAGGATTCATAAATCTAAACAATAAAGGACTGGCATTTAAAATTCCTCACATGGTTTCTGCTCCTTCTCCCACTAAACAAGCTGCAGAACGCACCTAATAAACTACATAAACACTACGATTGGGAGTCGCAGCATCAAATTGTGGGGGCTATAATAAATAGTTGAGCTTGATTTTTTTATTTTCCAAGTAAGGATGAAGGAAAAGAACATATTTTGTGACGAGGGAAACAAAACGTTCTAGTTTAGACACCCCCATTCTGAAAGAAAAACATTTACTGATGCAAACCTTTGAGTCACCTCTGTAAAAAAAAAAAAAGCCTCACTTAAAAAACAACACGTCTTTGGGTCCTAAACTACATGAATAGACATAAAAATCAGGCCAGATTGTTGGGCATTTAAGTTTGACAGGATGAGTTTATAGCTCCCAAAACTGAGACTCTAATTTACTTTTTATTGACTTTTGTACACCAAGCTAAGCCTTTATTTCCAGTGATTTTAGCCATCAAGATAACTTGTCATACAGAACTTTATTTCCCTTCAGCATCTAAACAAATGTGTTTACAGGCGTTTTATTTTTGTGGATTTCAGTAAAAGAAATCTGACCCATCCACTTTCCTCCTGTTAGCATCTTTCTGTTGCAATCACAGGTTTGCATGCAACAGGACAGAAATGCTGCTAAATTTAGCCCCTACATTGTATTGATTACAATAGATGTAATTCATTTCCATGGAGCTGCTTTGGTCAACGCTGCAAAGAGCCCCTGCAGGAGGAACAAATACCTATGGTCCTACATTTTTTACACCCTTAACACAATTATTAATATTAAAAACTAAGTTCACAGATTGTTTCAACACATCGGCAGTCTCTACTGTAATATAATAAATGCCTTCAGTCAATCTCTGTGGAAACAAGCTCTGGCGCTCCCGTTTCAGGAAGAAGAAGAGAGCCGGAGAAGATGTTGGCAGAACAAGGCAGGATTTGTAGTCTTATTTCCTGATATGTGGATATCTCTTCTCTGATTGGCTAACAGCAACGTGACTCTACCATTGACTACATTTGCTTTGTAACGTTGAGGTTTTATCTCCACAAATAACTCAAACCTGAAAGTGTTCTGCCATGTTGCATGGTTGCTAATGCTAACTGTTACATGCTCTGCTCTCTCCTGGATGCTAAATCGACAACAGCATTCCCCGTTGCAAGCCAAGATGGGCGAGCCCATGAATATTAATTAGAAAATCTGACATGCTGTTGACTGGCTTTTCTAAATCATCTGTTTCCCCGTCTATTTTTAATAGGAAGCTAATGCAGGAAATAGGGGTAGTGGACTATGTTCCCATTTAGCCTGCATGTTAAACTTAAGAGTGTGTGATCATACTTAAAGAGCAAGTCACCCCCTACCAGATTCTTACTCAACTCCCACTTCCTGATTAAAAAAATGCAACAAATGCTGTTGCCTAGCAGAACGAGAGGGCGGAGCCGCTAACAAATACACACACTTACGATAAAGTGACATCATAATCTACCATCTAACATCATAGTGTACCTCTTGGCCAATAGCGATGGTAGATTTAAATTAAAATGCAGTGCTGAGTTTTTAAATGACGACGGTGCATCGCTAACAGTTTTAGGCAGAATATTTACATTTTAAATAAGATGCACTAAAGTGCCGAATTATTTACTACACGTGTCTGCAGCACAATCAGACACTCATTTATAAAGTTTATCAGCAAAAAAAAATTTGTTTTGATTTGGAGTGACTTGCTCTTTTAAAAACAACTGTTTCTTGGTGAACTTGGCCTTTAAATACAACTTTAGAATTAATTTGTCTACTTATTCTGAATGTGGAGAATGTCTCCAACAAGCCTATTCATTTTTGCGAAAAGTTAACCTGCCGTCTGTCCCTGCTGTGCACCCCTCCAGCCAGAGAGACAATCAAAGGAGGTTCGCCTAGCTTACGGGTGGAGGTGCTGGGGTGAGAGTGGGGCAGGCGCTGTTGCAGAGAAAGGAGCCTGGAGGTCCACGTCGCTACGGGAGCGGGACTTTTTGGACCGAGAAGAGCCACGGCGGCGAGACGGATGGCGGTCCACGCGGGCGCTCTCACTGCGCGTCACTTTCCTACTGAAGGGAGGGGGAGGTGGTGAAGGATGGGTGGGGAGGAGCAGAAGGATGAAGATGACACAAGGCAGGGACAGAAGTGCCGGGAAGAACAAAGAAAAACAGCGACGGAAGATTCCAGAAGACATGTAAGATGATAAAAAGAGAAACATGCAGACAGTGAGGATGAAACGTGAGTTCATTACGAGGATAATGAGATAAATCACCTTACAGATATAAAAGAGTAAATATGCATGACGTGAGGCATGCATTTGCTGGTTAGACAAACAAATAAATGATGTAGCATCTAAACGCCACTTTACAAATGTATGTTAGGAAGACATGCATTGCCTCATAGCATCCTACTGCACGCTACCACAGCTCCCAGATGAGCAACAATAATAGTCAACAGTTCTTCAGTTTCATTAAGTGTGCACACACACCAGCTAACCATCAATGACCCCTCCACAAGCATTTGTTAAATACTTAGCCGCTTTGTTTTGCACCACAACAGGAACACGAGGCTCACTGTCACGCGTGTATGCCTAAGAGTATTCTGTTTGCATCATATGTGAACAGAATGAGGCCTGAAGCATGTCCGTGACTCAGTCAGGGCGCTGACACCCACCTTGTCTTCTGTCTGCAAAAACACGGAACACCACAGCGTTACACACTCCCCTTTCACCCCACGGTCTTGGCTACAGAAACAACCAACACACGCGTGTGCACCACCCCAAAGTGAAATCCTGGCTTTATGGAACCACTGAACGAGCTGCGTGCCGATAACGCCAGAGCATCTGGAGTTACATAGCAGGGAGTGCAGAATTATTAGGCAAGTTGTATTTTTGAGGAATAATTTTATTATTGAACAACAACCATGTTCTCAATGAACCCCAACAAACTCATTAATATCAAAGCTGAATGTTTTTGGAAGTAGTTTTTAGTTTGTTTTTAGTTTTAGCTACTTTAGGGGGATATCTGTGTGTGCAGGTGACTATTACTGTGCATAATTATTAGGCAACTTAGCAAAAAACAAATATATACCCATTTCAATTATTTATTTTTACCAGTGAAACCAATATAACATCTCCACATTCCCAAAAATACATTTCTGACATTCAAAAACAAATCAGCGACCAATATAGCACCTTTCTTTGCAAGGACACTCAAAAGCCTGCCATCCATGGATTCTGTCAGTGTTTTGATCTGTTCAAGTCAAGTCAAGTCAACTTTATTTATATAGCACTTTATAACCGCATAAAAGCTGACCAAAGTGCTTAACAAGACAAAACGAACAGAAGTTCCTTAAAAATTCTAAAAACAAGATAAAAAGTTCATCACAAGGTAAAAACATGATAAAACAAACATATCAAACTGACATAAAAGCTACTAAAAACAGATGCATTCTCAAACTGAATTAAAAGCAACTGAGAACAGACGAGTCTTTAAGAGTGGTTTAAAACCCGACAGTGATGAAACCATCCTAATCTGAATCGGGAGTGCATTCCACAACCTTGGAGCTGCTGCTGAGAAAGCTCTATCACCCCTGAGCTTTCTCTTTGTTCTCGGCACCTCCAGGAGAAACTGGTCGGCTGACCTCAGTGACCGAGACGGGGAGCCAGTTCACCATCAACATTGCGTGCAGCAGCAACCACAGCCTCCCAGACACTGTTCAGAGAGGTGTACCGTTTTCCCTCCTTGTAAATCTCACATTTGATGACGGACCACAGGTTCTCAATGGGGTTCAGATCAGGTGAACAAGGAGGTCATGTCATTAGTTTTTCTTCTTTTGTACCCTTTCTTGCCAGCCACGCTGTGGAGTACTTGGACGCGTGTGATGGAGCATTGTCCTGCATGAAAATCATGTTTTTCTTGAAGGATGCAGACTTCTTCCTGTACCACTGCTTGAAGAAGGGGTCTTCCAGAAACTGGCAGTAGGACTGGGAGTTGAGCTCGACTCCATCCTCAACCCGGAAAGGCCCCACAAGCTCATCTTTGATACCATCCCAAACCAGTACTCCACCTCCACCTTGCTGGCGTCTGAGTCGGACTGGAGCTCTCTGCCCTTTACCAATCCAGCCACGGGCCCATCCATCTGGCCCATCAAGACTCACTCTCATTTCATCAGTCCATAAAACCTTAGAAAAATCAGTCTTGAGATATTTCTTGGACCAGTCTTGACGTTTCAGCTTGTGTGTCTTGATCAGTGGTGGTCGTCTTTCAGCCTTTCTTACCTTGGCCATGTCTCTGACTACTGCACACCTTGTGCTTTTGGGCACTCCAGTGATGTTGCAGCTCTGAACTATGGCCAAACTGGTGGCAAGTGGCATCTTGGCAGCTGCACGCTTGACTTTTCTCACTTCATGGGCAGTTATTTAGCGCCTTGGTTTGTCCACACGCTTCTTGCGACCCTGTTGACTATTTTGAATGAAACGCTTGATTGTTCGATGATCACGCTTCAGAAGCTTTGCAATTTTAAGACTGCTGCATCCCTCTGCAAGATATCTCACTATTTTTTATCTTTCTGAGCCGGTCAAGTCCTTCTTTTGACCCATTTAGCCAAAGGAAAGGAAGTCGCCTAATAATTACGCACACCTGATATAGGGTGTTGATGTCATTAGACCACACCCCTTCTCATTACAGAGATGCACATCACCTAATATGCTTAACTGGTAGTAGGCTTTCGAGCCTATACAGCTTGGAGTAAGACAACATGCATGAAGAGGATGGTGTGGACAAAATACTCATTTGCCTAATAATACTGCACTCCCTGTAAACCGCACAAACGGAGGACAAGCAGGACGAAGGACGGACCCTGGTCACGGCAGACGTGCACACCTTAGAAAAGCACATGGACTGAGCAGCTAAGCGTCAGAACGAAATGTATTGTTCACCACTAAACTAAAAAAAAGGTGCAAAAATAACCTGATTTTCTTTTAAGACTTTAAACAAAAAAAAGCCAAACGTCTTCATTGACTAGAAAGCTGCAGCTGAGACAAACACTTGCTGCTATGGAAATATAACAAACATATCAGTATGAAGGAAAGCATCAGTGTACTGCTAATGTACCCGAGATCGATGCAAGAAAACACAAGGAGAACATTTGTTCTAAACGAAGCCAGCAAAAAAGCTCGGATGTGAAATTAAGGAAGGAGGAGAACAAATAAAACAAGAGTTGGGGAAATGAACTTGTGTTAATGTAAAGAAGAAAAAGGAGAAACAGTGTGAGGGAGAGGGAAGGCAGAAGGGCCGGGTCCATGTTCACCTGGTGGGGGGTCCTTCTCAAAAACTGCAGGCTCTGTTAGCTAGAGAGCGACGGCGGCGTGACAAAAGCTAGCACACGGCAAGGACAGACAGCCGGGGGAGTTTTACCACGCTCCCTCGGCCTGCACACTTCAGGCACATTTGGCGTCCACCCTTCTTTCCCGTGGTTAATCATTCTAATATCATAAACATCTTTAATCCGTCTAGCGACCTGCTACGCTGAGATCCGCGATGGTCGTGACATCACCACCTCCAGCCTTCTTACCTTTCTTCTGCAGGCTTTTCTGCAGTCGTGTCGACCGGAGGGGTAGGCTTGCTTATTGTATCACCTCCCAACACGGGAGTCGCGCCATCCGAAGGTTTCTGGTGCTCGGAGGAAGTGCTGGGAGACACTAGGCGTGAATGAGAAGAAAAACAACTGGGATTAATTGGAGCTGTTTGAAGCAAAACCTTGAAGACATAAAAAAACACTTTTGAACTCATGTTAGCTTAAAAAACAAGTTTTAAATATATCTTGAATAAATAATTAAAAACTAAACAACAAGAAATACATTAAAACAACATCCTGGAATTACAATAACGGGTCTAAGTAGGAAAAATTTAAATATTATTATGTCAAAAGTCAACATCGGCACATGAGCACAATGATTTCAGGTCACTGAGATTTAAGACTAACTGGGCTGCGATTGTTAGAACTGCAAGAAAATGTGCAAATCTCTAGTAGCAATCCTGCTTTTGCAAGAGTTTTATCTACAACTGGGTCGTGTGAGAAACCTGGAGTAATTGCAAAGAAACTGCATCAGTTTTTGTCTCAATTCAGTCACAAAGTTTTGCTATTCAAGGGTAATTCACTCAAAATGTAGTTGTACTTTGGTGGAAAAGCCCCCCAGAGTCATCTCATATCACTTCTGACTAATAGAAACTAAGTTGAGACGGGTCAAAGCTGAATCCACAAGGACTAAAAAGACATGCAAACACGATCTCGTAAAACTAGAAAATGTCAGATATTTGAAAACTGCTTTGTTAAGGGAATCACTTCAATGTAGCTAAAACTAATCTGTATGTTTGTCACCAGTTAGAATTATTGCAGGGTGGCTCATTTTTAAAGTAACGTCTCGCAGGGGGGGGGGGTTTGAGTAAAGCCTGAGTCATGCTTCTGCGTCTGCGTCAGTGCGGAGACACGCAACGCCATTATCATCCTTGCGGGCCTGCTGGAGAGCCCCGCAAGGATGTACGGAGTCGAGCTCTCTTTTCTAAACATCCGTCCGTCGAGACGGAGAACGCAAGCTTGTGATTGGTCAGGGCACCGCTGTCATCTACACCGCCGCCATTGCGCCCTCAAAAACATAGACAGCTGAGGATAACTAGCAGCAGACACAGAGAAGCTTGAAGAATACCTCACGAAAAAACTCTAAAAACACGAACGTTTAATTCCCCCGTGACTGGAGGAGTGAAAAGATGCGCAGCAAGCGTTTTATTTGTGGACGGAAATGACAGGAAACGTGGGTTTAGAGGTGGCGAGCGCATGAAGAGGTGGAGGAGGATGAGAGACAAATTTGTCCGTGTTAAAAAGTCTCTTATATACAAAAAAAAAAACACAATATAAACACTATCTTGTACCGGATGCATGGCAGGATACCACAGAACAGCGCTACGCCCTCTGTTGTCCTGGCGGAGAATTGCTTTGTAACACTCCCCAGGAGACGGAGGAGTATGAGGGCAAAACGCCTCCGTCCGTGCGCGTCTCTCCCGGTTGGAGCTGACGGAGAAGCATGACTCAGGCCTTAGAAGTTTAACCAGTTTCAAATCTGACACCACGCGGTCGCCCTCTGCTGGCCAGATACTGCACTTTTCAGTTTTGTGGAGCTGGTAGGTGTCCTAGGGGGTGCTCTTACCCCTAATTCCCACTGGAAGCATCAGCAGCGCAGAACATCACTGCTTCTACATAGAATCTGTTTTAGTCTTTAGGGATGATTCAAACCAGCTGCAACTTTTTCAGGCGCATCCCAGAAGCGTCGCCTTTCATGATTTTCTTCTTGATGTCATAGATTTTTTTTACTATTCTGATTTTTTTAAGAGAACAGAACAGATTGTTGCTACAAAAATGTAACAAGCATGAATGACATTCGCACCAACCAAACGTAATGGTTGCCAACAACCGAATGTCTTGTTTTACCATCAGGCTTTGGCGGTTCTGGGACGCTGGGGGTGATGTTGATGTCTGGCCCATCAGCGATCTCTACGCCCACCACCGGGACCAGAGGGCTGGCTGGCACCGTTTTTTCAGAGACAGACGCTCTGGGTGTAGAAATTTTCCGATCTTTTCCCACTGAGGACAAGAAGCAAGACATTTTTTTAACACATGAGACAAATTAAAAATACAGCAGGAGAGACGGAAAATGACCCAAAAGCACCGCAGCCAGTACAAAAAGTGAGACAGACAAAACGTTTAGATGAGTTTGGTGCCTCTGTGGTAGATGAAAGAGTTAGTTCAGTACAAGGTGACACAAACTCCTCAGGTGAGCTTCCCCTGGACACTACAGGTAATCATGCACCCCTCCCCAAACACAAGGTCAGCACAACAAGGCCACACCTACATCCTCTCCTAGAGTGATTGGGGACATGCAGACATGCTCTGGGTTAGATTAGTAAAGCCGGGCGGACACTGTGCGACTTTTTCACTCGTAGCACTCAGCTTCAGCTCAAACTGTACGACTTCCTCGCAGGGCAGATCTCACGAGTCATGCGCTCACACTGCACGTCTGGTAGCAACACGCCGGCCCTAAAAATATGCTAAAAATAGCAGTTTTTACACAACATGTCAGACTGTTTTGTTTTGCCTGTTGTCCTTCGGGAGTGCTGCAGGAGGACACACAGGAATTTATGGGGGTTGGATGAGGAAAACAAAATAAAGAAAGTAAATCTGTGTTTTGTGATCAGTTTAATTTGACACGAACATGACAAACACGCTTTCTTGACAATCTTTGTGAGTAAAAAAACGTGTAGAAATAAAAACGAACAACGTGTGTTATTAGGGAAATAGCGGGTGAGAAGTGTTGATGCATGATTGCGCATGCGTCGTGAGCGGTTCTGATACTTTTTGGGTCGCAGCTGCTCGCAGCGCCGCTTCAACAGTGCGATACCCTCACGAGGGACGAGCCAAATATCAAACAGGCCAGAAGTCCGTGTGAGCTCACGATTGCTGATGGGTAGCTGGTCACGGGGTGTTAATCGCCTCTCGTAACCCCCGGTACACTACATCACGCTCAGCGCTAAACTCGCCACGATCTCGTGGATTTTCGCACGAGTGGAATATCGGCTCAAAAAAGTGAAAAAGTCGCACAGTGTACGCCCGGCTTTAGATTAGTAAGATGGTAATCATTCCACAGATGGACTCTAAGCAAAGAGTACCTTCAGGGTCTGGTCTTCTGTTGTCGACTGTAACAGGAAAAAAGGGCAGGACAACATGTTCTTATGTGGAAACCATTCAGGGACAGCATCACGCAAAAACTCACAATCCAGTTCTCAAACGTCCCTGATGTAGAGTAATAAGATCTATCGAAGATTTGTTTATTTAAAAAACGCTGAATCATTCAAATATCCTTCAAGAACATCAAAACACAAAAAGAAAATACCTGGAGTTGGTTTCCATCTGTTTGGGATGCTTGGAATATTCTGGAAGACCCCCAAAGGTTGGCCATGGAACAACAAAAATAAACAATGAAATGATTCAAAATCAGATCAGTTACATATGTAATATGTTGTTTAAGTCATTTAAGAGTAGAAGGAGGTTGTCTTATGCAGCCAGGAGGAAACTTTACCTTGATCCCAAAGATACTTCGTTTGGACTTCTTGCTGTCCACGGGCTTAATTTTGAGCCCAAATTGCTTCATGTAGACGGCAACAGCAGAAAAGATGGAGTGACTGGAGGGAAAGAAGACACGTGGCTCTTAATAAGATGGTTTTAATATTTTATTACAGAGCACGTGTGTCACAGTAAAAAAACATCTTAGAAAACAGTTAAGAATTTGTAAAATTAGTTTTTTAAGGTTACATTTAATTTAACAGATAATATTAAAAAGTACATTTAGGTTTATTATGTTTATTTATTTGGCAGACGCTTTTATCCAAAGCCACTTACAATTTATAACCTATAGGGCATGTTGTGATCTGTGGGGGAAACCGGAGAACTCGGAGGAAACCCACGCACGCATGGGGAGAACACGCAACTCCACGCAGAAAGGCCGCAGCCGAGTTTCAAACCTGCAACCGTCGTGCTGCAAGGCAACAGTGCTAACAACTTCGCCACCACGCAGCCCCTTTAAACCACTTTAAACTCTTGTTAGTTGGATTTTAATAAGCTAAAATGTTTTTTTTTTAATAATCTTCACAATTTACAGCACTAATCAAAAGTTGCGAGTTTAACGACAAAAAGTGACACGTTAGAGCAGAAAAGGCAGGGGGTGGTGAGTTATTAGCCGGAGGAGGAAAAAGGCGGGGCTTAAGGATGAGATTAAGGCGGAGCTTAAAGCTGTGGGAGATGACAGAGAGACAGAGTTTCCCAGAACATGCTGTCTGGCTGAACACATCAGGGTTTCACCACAACTAAATTAGGTTTAAAGTACATTTTAAAATGTATCCTGATTTGTGAATGAAAACATTTGTTTGGTTATCTTCATGAAAAACATTCAGATGCATTTCCTGCCCTTGATCCAGTGTGGTCCCTTGTGGTCTGACCACACCCAGAGATTTTGCACAAACACCCAAACAGAAAAGGAACAGATTTCAACAATTCAAACTCACCATTTCTCCTCGTCCGGGACGATCTGAGGTCTGAAAGGGAAGATAAAAGTGTCAGCTCTGTTTTAACGAACAGCGTAAACAAAACCGCTAATCTCACCTCTTCCTTTTAAGTAGCATTTTTTCTCTCACTCGTCCGACTGATTACTGACTGTGTTTCGGGATGGTGGAATCTAAAGCGACTACGCTTTTCTCTTTCCCACTCAAAGCTGACTATTGTGCTGTTGTGTTCACAGCTGAAGCTTTTTATCATATTCTAAAAGTTTCACAAAGAAAAAGAAAAAAACCTAAGAAAGTCAAATCAGAAGCATAACATTTTCACTTATGCCTGCTCAATTTCATTTCAAATATAACTTCTACTCTTAAGATCTGCAAGAAAAAACAATGAAACCGCCGTTTCCCGATGCTTGGGAGTTTTCTGCAGTGATTTGCCTCTCCTGCAAAAATGCCGATCCAAAGTCAGAAAGGCTCCAGCACGGCGGAAACGTCTATTGAAACATGTTTTTGTCTGATGCAACCATCGGATGCAACATGCAAGCAAGACCCTGGAAACTCGATCCTGATGTTTGGAGATCAAAGCAAAGGACGGGGGAGGAGTTTCCCCGGGATTTCCCTCAATTATCCAATCAAATGGTTTGGTCACCATTTTTGCATCAGCACAGACCAATGACGGGCAGAGGGGGCGTGGTTGCTGTGCTGTGTTGGGTGGAGTTGACTGGGTGCATCAGTTCGGGAGACTGTTTAACGGGATTGTCAGAAGGAGTGAAGCTGAATGAACGGTTTGTGTGATGAAGGCAAACATCTAACTGTGTGAGAGCGTCTGACTAAAGCTGGATTATTAAGTCTTTCATAAAGACAGTCCTGCAGACCTCTCAGGTCCTCACTACAATCATCGTGGTGGTCTCCTTGCATTTCAGCAGTTTTTTTTTTTACCTTCTACTTCTGACGAGATGAAGTTGGACAGTAGTCTGCCCTTCCCTCGACCTTCTTTCCCTCCCTGTCACACTTGTTCTTGTGGAGGATAACATGCTGTAGTTGGATATGGGGGCCATGGATGAATTTACTTTCTCCTAGATCTCTAGCTTTCATTCTTTTATTTACTTTAAAACAGAAGCTATCCAACACCGATAACCCTCTGGCCATTTTGCTCTCCATCTCTTCTGATGCTACCCCCCCCCCCCCCCCCTCCACCCCAACCCAAAAAGTTGGCAGTATGCCAGGGGAAATCCTCTCAGCCAGCGTGGCACTGCTTCCTCCATCTTCATTTCCTTCTTACTGTGAGCGGTTTCCTTAATTACAGCGCTCCCTCTCCACCTCACCAGCTCAACTCGTTTTTCCCCCTCATTTCCTGTTTTATCTCCTGCCTGTCATTTGTGTCAAACGTGACACGAATACCGTCGAAGTGAGTTATAACGGAAAGTTGACTTTACTATAAGAGTAAACTGTAAAAGTGGGATCAAATTTTAACTGTGAGAAGGCTTACCTGAGTTTTTCTGCTGGTAGTTTTTAGGGTTTTTATCAGGCCGATAAACCTCCTTAGTAAAGCCGATTTGCAGACAGGCACATTCCCGGGCAGAAGTAAATGTAAACGTACGTTCCTGAATTACATCTGCATAATAAATGCTCTAAATATTATTTTCAACTTGAAAGTATTTTTATGTTCCAGTTTTGAACATTTAATACTTGGGCCAGTTTTTGACTTATTTGATTAACTTTAGTTAATGTCTGATTTTAACACTGAGCAGTGACCAAAATTAAGATTTAACAGTGTTCAAAAAAAGATTCAGATATTTGGTTCACCAACTGATGTTATTAGTGACATTTGAAATTGCAAATAAGGTGGAAAAACATTAATCCCTCCTTTCCACCGGAGCCGTCGGCAGCAAATTACTGCAGCAGCGCGTCTTGCTCGCGTAAGCTGCTGCTTGGCCCTTCCCACGAGGCGCGAAGCAGAAGGGGAGCAGCTGTCACCGACTGAGCACAAAGTCACACGACATTAGCAAAATCACGCGTATTTTAGATAGCATAACTCACAGAGGTCCATACAGAAAAGAAATCACGTTAATAATTAGCATAAACTCACCATCTTGCCCCAAAATCGCAGATTCGTCACTCCATTCGTAATCCTTCTTGACGTTGTCTTTATAAAAACTGTGACTGGGATCAAACAGGATTGGGTACTTCTCCACTTCAGTAGTCAACCTTTCGTCATCCATTATGGAAAAACAAAGGAGAGCGCTAGCGAGGTGATAACTTTTTCTTTAAAGTAAAGCAACCGGAAGGCAGTACGTTTGTTTATTCTGAAAACCTCGGGAAGCTTTGCTCCGTTTCCGCGTCCGATTTCCTGTCTTTCCTTCCCCAAAAATGTCGAACTCGACCCGTTTCAGAAGCGTAGCGCGTAGAAAATAGAACCGGCACGGAAGGGCCGCGACATGCTGCTCCTGAGACGCGGCTGACTCGCGCTGCTGACGGCTCCGGTGAAAAGGTTCTGTTGACCACAGCGGTTCCTATCAGCAGCTATGACGTGCTGCTGACGGCTCCGTCACGGCTCCGGTGGAAAGGAGGGGTTAGAAATCAACCCAAAAATCGGCAGCACATATCGACCATGACCTCTAGATATCGGCGTCTGTACCGGCCACAGAAAAAGACAATCGACCTTTAGAAGTTGGCATAAACTATTAGAACATGGAAATTGGGGTCCTTTTTCATTGAAACTCTTCAGACCTTGATCCCATTCAGAACTCGTGAATCCCAAAGAGGTGGGTGGAAAAGCAAGAACTCACAAACTCTGAAACTCCAAACATCATTTAGGATTCAGCCTAACTGTTGGTTGACGGCGCGCCAGAGTGACTTTCTGCAAACATTTAATCTAATTATCAACGAAAGCCTTTGAATTATGTGAGGCTCTTGTAATTATGCATCCATGTACCACAGAAACATCAGATTAAACTAATAATCTCAATAAAATGAAGCAATGTATGAAAATCAAAACTCGCCATTTTGTTAACCTTTCACGACAGCGATGTTGGCTTGTAAAAAAGAATTTTATCATTTATTAAATAATATAAATCTGCATTTGAAAAATATTTAGCATTGCCCTTCTACAACTTGACAATGATTTGAGGAATCCTGGGTGCTTTCCATAACTCTGATAAAGAAATACACTCACTGTTGTTCGAAGAGCTTGTCCAGCAGCTTCTCAGCCACAGATCTCTCCTTCATCTCCCTCGGGATCCGTAAAGTGTCACGGTGGTTCTCTACGTCTTTGAGCTCGCTCTCGTTGGGGGTCATACCCATCATCCTCTTTTGCCTAAAAAGACACAAAGAGGCTGTTTTGTTGGAAAGTTTCTCCAAAATGACAAAAAGACCCTTTCTTTAAATATTATGGGGAAAATAGAGTTTTTGGTGTTTGCGTAAATGACACTAAAGCCTTTTAGAGAAGAGATGTGTACTGGGGTCTGAATCAACTAGTCGACTTCACGGCTCTGTAGTGACTTTTTATGACTTTCATAGACTAGTCGCTGTCACGTGATAATGACCGACAAGATGGAGTCCTCGGAAAAGACAGCAGGTGATGAGCCCCTCCGCGTAGGGAGGCGACGCGCTGTGCCAGAGCGTCGGTATCTGACGCCCGCCGTAAAACGGACATTTGACCGAATTGTGACCTTTACCCTCTTGCAATTTAACCTTCCCCTCACCCCCATCCTAACCTTAACCAGCTAGCGCATGCAAAGCTCTGATCGTTGACGCGCTCCAGACATCTGCGTCCTGAGCACGGCCACAGTAACATTATCAAATCAGGTGCCGCCACCTCAAAAACAAATTTAACACGCGATCGTTCGTGTCGGCTCATTTCCTTATATGTTTTCTGTCTTTTATTTGTGCCTGATGCGTTTCGCCGCTGCGGAGCGGGGCGCATCACCTGTTTTGTCCTCCAGTGACGCACTATACCGGGAGGGGGGTCGTGCGCTCCGTCCTGCAGCGCTCCTCCGTCAGAAGGGGGGGGGTCGCGCGCTCAGCACAAACGAAGCACAAAGAAAGTAGACTATTATGGTCCATTTTGGAGCAGTTTGGGAATTTGAAGATGTCATCATGCAAAATTAAAACTTGTAATATCTCAGAAACCGTTGCAGCACAAAAGTCGATTTTACTTTCACAAATCAGCACAAACGAAGCACTAACCGAGCAGCCTATTTGCCTGCACTTTTAAAGCTGACAGAGGATCAGCTTCACAGAGATAGGGTGGGGTGCAAAATTTCACACGCACGTTTTTCTCGTTTCGCTTAGTAGGAGGGAGAGCCGCGTTGTCGCACATGTCTCATTGAAAATGAATGGAGGAGAGGCGATGTCGCCTCCCGTGTGTCGAGCCCATAGAGGCTCCTCCCACATCGGAGCAGGTTCAGGCTGACTTCTAAAGCTTGGTTTATGCTTCATCAGCGCGAGTGCGGAGTCGTGCGCTTTAGTTGACTTAAAAGCTCAACTTGTCTTTTAAAAATGGTCTGAATGTTTCTGACGGCACACGTTAGCTCAAACAAGCTAAGGTGTCAGAATGCGTGCGTCTCTCTCGCGGAGCTGACGTTAGTGAGGAAAAACTATCAGACGGCTTCAGCCTGCCCGGTAATGCAGGAAAACTGCATTTTTTGTTATTTAGTACATTTAAAAGCTGTTTCTACCTACAGATTTCCTCCATGCATTTTTGCAGTAGAACATGTTTTATAACGCTCCTCTCTAGATAAAAATCACAAGCTGCTTCACAAACACATAAAAATAAAAAAAGATAAGATTTAACTGTTTTTATTGTCTGATTAAATAGTAAATATTAATGTGAATGATTTGTTGTACTAGATTACAATCTAGACCAGGGGTTCCCAAAGTGGGGGTCGGGACCCCCAAGGGGGTCCCCACAAAATTACAGGGGGTCCCCACAATTTTGTCTTTGCTGAGATTGTGAGGTTAGCAAGAATTTCTTTGTAAAAATTACATTTATAAACTCCCAATAACACACCCTACAGTATAATCACAACTCCATATATAATTTATAACTGTGTGTCTGTGTAAAGATGGTAAATGATCACATTTAACGTGTGTACGCATGTAGGAGTTGGGGCTAGGGGTCCTGGCTTGGACAAGAGCAAGGGGGTCCTCAAAAAAAGAAATTGGGAACCCCTGATCTAGACCATCTTTTCACTTCATCTACAGGATGGCTTGGCAGGCTAGTGTTGGACCTTTGTTTGCAGAAAATCGTGAATTGAAACGAAATCGCAATCTCTGCAAGAAAAATTGCAATTCAATCTTTTCCTAAAATCCTTCAGCCCCAATGCACATCCTCAATATCAACAACAAAAAGGAAATATCGTTATATTTTTGATGAGGATGTTGAGCTCAGAGCTGTAAGAGAGAGAGTACCGACACAGTGCTTCTCGTGGAGGTTGTGGGATTAAAGCGAGCATCGATCATACATAAAAGGAGATGAAATGGATGCATTTTACCACCAGCCTGCACTTTGCCACGAACAGTCTTGTCCAGTAAAGAAACTGCTTTCCTCATAAAGTCAGTTATCAAATTGTGGACCAATTGTGCCGAGTAGAAAGCGGGTATTACTGTAACATCATGGGCTGCTGGTGCATTGGTGGCACGCAACTTCAAAGAGTCCGTCGAAATGTAAACAAAAATTCTACAAGATGAGCCGTCAAACAGCTTCAAAAACTCTCACAGCGGTCCAGTTCCATTCTGCTTGTGCACAAAGCGCAGAACAGAAAACTATTTACCTGAAATCTTGAAGCTGTTTGCAGATTTCACAAAGCTGATGACTCTGAATGTCCTTGGCATAACTTTTTTGGGTTTCATCAGAGAACAAATCGTAGCGGGTCCGATCTTAGGAAAGAGAGGAAAAACACGAGAGCGTGAATTACCAAAGTAAAGAAAATGATGTGAATTTGTTTCTAAGTTTTTTAATATAATTTTAAAAAAAGCTTACCCAGTTCGTAGGATATACTCTGTGGTACGCTCACTCTGAGACACTGTAATGTAAGTCAAATAAAGGGTTACAGATATGAGAATAAATATGAATTATAAACATAATCCAAATAATCAATATTTAAGAATCATTTAAAGAATACACAAAAAGGTCAAATTTGCTGTGCTAGGGCTGTGCAGTTACTACCATTCTCCACAGGGGGGCATATTAACACTAAAAATCTGACTTACTGAAGAAAAGAAAACCTTACAGCAGCTGAACAATGGAAATTTGCCACCAACATGAAAAAAACACACCTCCGTGTCAACAAGGCCATAGAGGTGCGTTAGGTGTTTAATATTTGATTTTTTTTGTGAGGAAGACTTCTCCTGTGGAATTTTCTCACGGTCCTGACAGGAAGTAGTTGGGGTGAAAGACAGACTAGAGAGAAGATGATCTGGGTTGACTGACATGAGGAGGAGGAGGAGGAGGAGGGATAAAGTCCATGTGTGCAGGGAGGAGTGATGAAGGGTAACAGAGAGAAGAGCTGCACTGACTGACAGCAGATATGTAAATCAATCAATCAATCAATCAATCAATCAAAGCTTTATTTATAAAGCGCGTTCCGCAACCCTGTCAGGAAGCCCAAGGCGCTGAACATGGTACAGTAGAAGTATAAATATAGTGAATAAATCAAAAATAAAAGCAATACAAATTACAAAAAAAGGTGAAACATTCTAGTACAGGACAGACGGGTAAAACAAGGGATAGAGTGAACCAATGAAAACTGTGAAATAAATTCGACGTAAAAGAGGGCCGAATCAAACATGTTCAGGAAACGCCAAGCGGAGGAGGTGGGTTTTGGTAAACACAAAAGTACATGTAAACACGTTTGAACCAACTTTCTATACGAATTTAAATAAGATGATTCTCCTCTGAGTGTGGAGGTAATATCTTTGGTATTATATTAAATGTATTCATGTCTGCAGGTTTTCCGGAGTCAGGGTATCTGCAGGTTTCTGGGAGCCAAATTTAAGACTTTTTAAGACCTTTGCTAAGGCCACTTTGACCAAATTTAAGCTATTTTTAAAATTAAGTTTAAGCTATATTTTCCAGCTATTGCCTGGAACCGGTGCTAACCACATCACGAACGTGGGATTAGCCATCCAGTTACCATTAAACTTCCCCATGGCGCAAGCTCCCAATAGCTTAACCAGCTAATGTGCTCATCTAAAAATAACCCCCTTTCACAACCAGCTGAAAGTGTACGGTTCCGCTTACGCCAGTATCATACACAAAAAATCCCTAACACTAACTAGAAATTCACAAAATTTTATAGAAATAAAAGAATCTTGTTTAGCGGGCATTTGGTAATTTAAGACCTTTGGAAAATGTATTTAAGGATTATTTGTCATTTTTAAGGATTTTTAAGGCCTTAAATTTTGAAAAGCAAATTTAAAACTTAAGACTTTTTAAGGACCTGCAGATACCCTGACAGTCTTCTTAGCCAACGTGGTGGTATATAATCCTTATCGTCCAAATGTCACTTCACAAATCAGACCACCATGACTCACCACAGCCACCTTCGGTGTGGAGAGGCTGGTTCCACAAACCACTTCTGTTCACTCTACCCACCCAAAACACATACAATCACTTTAAAGTCAACAGAATTTTTGTCTTGTTTGGCTCAAAATGAGAACATTTTCTTAAGTTAATTTTTATTACTGAGGATTAGTGACACAGAGCTGGGGAGTTATACTTCCTGGGATGTCATTAGACATTTTATAGTGTCTTGTCCAAATAGTGATTTCCACTTAGGACCCTGCCTTACGTTTGCAGACAGCCATTTCTCCAAAGCTTTTATTTTAACTCTTAATTACTCCAGAACTCGTGTTTACACGGATTTTTTTAAATAGATGTTTAATTTCCTTTAGGAACCTTTGACAAACACCGGTTGGCCTAAACCCAAACCCTCATAAACAAAGGTGATTACGGAGAGGAACAGGCCTGTGTATATACGTTAGCGCACGTACGCACGCACGCACACACACACACACACACACACACACACACACACACACACACACACACACACCGTTAGCCAGCAATGCTGAAACGTGACACGTGTGGATCATCAGCTCAACAGGGAAATGATTTTAAAACAACCTTTTTGAACCAATAAAACAGAACGGATGTTGAAAAGGGCTCATGGTGAGTCACACGGCAGACACGCTGATAGAAACAGGCTCGGTCATGAAATACTTAAAGTGTTTTGGTGTTCACTGATCGTGGAACTCCGTTCAGACACTGCATAGACGATGTTGAGCTAAAAATCACAGATTTTCTATTTATTTCTGTTACATCTGTGGTAAATTTACAGATGTGCAACATGACAACAAATGCTGCTATCCTAATAGAGGTAATCTCTATTGTGATAATAAATACATTTACAGCATATTTTCTGCTAAGTCTGCTGTGTTCAGGAGGAGGAGATAGGCAGAGTGAAACTAATGCTAACCCACCTCCCTCTCTAAGCTTAGATCATCACAGATTTTTAATCATGTCTTGAAAAAACAGTAACGCTTAGTTTAGGGAACACAAATTAACCATTAATTAGCTGCCAATTAATATGCATATTAGTGGACTACTAAGTCTGAATTAGTTATTAAGCTATTATTAGGTGCTTATTACCAATGCTGTAAGTCTAATATTAACAGGTCATAAATGAAGAGTTTTATCAAAATAAGCCATTCATAATGGTTTGTTAACTGAAAGTAAACGGCTTGTTGCTGATTAACGCACACACTAATTAGCTCAAATCAATATGGGGCTTTTAAAGAAGTAACTCAAGGAGAATAGTTAATTCTGCATTAATAACCAAAATTATTATGTTCTGGTAATATGTAAATAAACACCAAACTCCACATGTTAATAGAGCCTAAGCAATAATCAATTAACCACTTGTAAGCACGAATACGTTCATACCTAATTACTAGTAGTTTAGTATTAATTAACCACTTAAAGACAAGAATAACTACGCCAATTACTTCATTAAAAGCCACATATTGATTGAGGAGTTTAAGTATCTCGGGGTCTTGTTCACGAGTGAGGGTAGGAGGGATCGGGAGATCGACAGGCGGATTGGTTCGGCGTCTGCAGTGATGCGGACGCTGAGCCGATCTGGCGAAGAAGGAGCTGAGCCAGAAAGCCAGGCTCTCGATTTACCGGTCGATCTACGTCCCAATCCTCACCTATGGTCATGAGGTTTGGGTAATGACCGAAAGAACAAGATCGCGGATACAAGCGGCCGAAATGAGTTTCCTCCGTAGGATGGCCGGGCTCAGCCTTAGAGATAGGGTGAGGAGCTCGGACATTCGGGAGGGACTCGGAGTAGAACCGCTGCTCCTCCGGATCGAAAGGAGTCAGTTGAGGTGGTTTGGGCATCTGGTCAGGATGTCTCCTGGACGCCTCCCTGGGGAGGTGTTTCGGGCAGGTCCGGCAGAAGGCCCCCGGGTCGACCCAGGACATGTTGGAGAGGTTACATCTCCAATCTGGTCCGGGAACGCCTTGGGGTCCTGCCGGAGGAGCTGGTGGAGGTGGCCGGGGAGAGGACGGTCTGGAGCTCCCTAGTTGGGATGCTGCCCCCGCGACCCGGACCCGGATAAGCGGAGGAAGACGACGACGACGGTATTGATTTGAGCTAATTAGCATGTGCATTAATCAGCAACAAACCATTTACTTTCAGTTAACCATTATGAATGGCTTATTTTGATAAAACTCTTAATTTATGGCCTGTTAATGTTAGATTTACGGCATTAGTAATAAGCTGTTAATAAGTGCTTAATAATGACTAGTTCAGACTTAGTAGTCCATTAATATGCATATTAATTGGCAGCTAATTAATGGTTCATTTGTGTTACCTAAACTAAAGTGTTACAGAATAAAACCTACTCACATTCTAATTTTTTAGATTGCTCTGCTGAAAATGTGTTTAGCGTTAAATAAGCTGAACACTGTATCCTGCAGAAGACTTTCTATTCTCACCATAACATCTCGGCCCTCCACTAAACTAGCCTGGCCTGCCAGACTCGTCCTCTGTTTAATTCTGCACAGAGAAAGAGTCTGGTAACCCTCCCGTGCAAATAACCACACCCCCTGAGAATTCCAACCGAGCCAATCAGCGCTGAGCAGCCTACGTCACAAACAACGAAGATGGCGTTTGAAGTGAAGTTCGCCGCGGCTCTTTCCTTTTGGACATGTCTTTAAAACCACAACAGAAAGAACCGCTAAAAGCCTTTCTTCTAAAGAAAGACGTTAGCGCCATCGCCGGGCGCCATTTTTGACTACATCTAAAAGACTACAACGTTGCACGGTGCAGTTGGCATTTCCGCATTTTTTCTGATTGGTTATTTTTGAGCTGATTAGTCCCGCCTCTCATGTGCCTCTGCCTTAGAGTAACCAGACGTACTCTGCTCAGTGCTGATTGGCTCGGTTAGAATTCTAAGGGGGTGGGGTTATTTGCATCAGAGAGTTACCAGACTCTTTCTCTGTGCAGAATTAAACAGAGGAAGAGCCTGGCAGGCCAGGCTACCACTAAACAAACAAACAAACAAACAAACACACACACACACAGAGGCTGCTGGACAGGGGCGTGTCATGGGAGTGGCCTGGGGTAGCACAAGCCACCCTTAGAATCTGATTGGCCACCCCAGGTGCCACCCTACTAAGTTCCAGTTTAAATTGACTTTACATTGTCGGCAAAATGCTTGGGTTGTAAACTCTAAAAATAGTGTGTGGTAGCACGCACCTTTAACACTGTCTTCTAGCCCAGGCCTACAGAACATTTCTGTATTATTATTTATTATTTTTTCATATTCACATAAATAGCATTTAGAGTCCCAATCAACTCCAGTTGGTGGCAATAATGCAGCAAGAAGTGACTTGCTAACCACCACAAAACTAGAAGATGAATAGAAAAAAATGGTGATTGTGCAATGTGAAACTCCAAAATTCACTAGAAAGTAAATAAATAAATAAACAAACGATTTGTGTAAATAAATAAATAAGCATAACCATTGGTGCCACCCATGCATAAACAAGTGCCCCACATGGGCCACCCCATTTTAAAAGTCCTGAACACGGCTCTGCTTCTGGAGCCACCGTATCCAAAATACGGTCTCTCCATCACTGCAAATATGATGAAGTCTAACATGCCACAATGACTCCTCGGAGAAAAACCAGATTTGATCTGGCTGCTTTTATTATTAGACTCTTTAATAAAAATTGTTGTTTTACCGTAAAAGAAAGACAATTTAACCACCATTAATGGTTTTGCAGCTTTTCACATTTTCAAATCAATTCTCATTCCATCTTTCACAGGAACACCAAGCAACGGTCTACTTACCGCACTCTTGTCCAAGAAGTAGTTGTAGAATTCTGCGAACTGTTTCTTGGTCTCTTTAGCACTGAGGTTGCTGAGAAGGTCAGCATGAAGATAACACAGCTGGGAAGAGGGAAAAAACATGAGGGTCCTGATTCATATTTTAAAACTGTGTTGCCTTCTGCAAAGGTCTCTACAGCTAATATTTTAAAGTTTGACATCACTCCTAAAAGCTGCTCAGCACCGAACTAAACACTGAGCAAATCCCTGTTAATTTAGCTCTTGCCCAGATGTGACCAATCAGGTTGTTGCTACTTGTACAAAAAAACAAATCACACACCATTTAAAAAGCATAACAACACACAGCTAAATGAACACTTGAAAGATGCAATGGTACCTGGGAAAGTCACAGTGTCTGCATGCAGGGGAAAGTGGAAAACACATGCACGCTTTACTTGGGCACCACCACAGACACAAACACTTATAATCCACATGGAGCCACGGAACATAATCTGATCTTCAGAGCTTCACAAGAGTTTTAGCAGCAGAATAAATCTTGTAATGAACACAGTTTAAGCTTAAATCGAGCAAATCTAGAGGTTAAATAGTTAATATTTACATGTTTAGCTCTGGTAATTAACATGTCCAGATGGTTAAAAAAGCCATATATATATTTGGAAGGTGGATATATTTCATAATTCAATGTTGTGTTACATCTTTATCTACTTACCAACTTGTGTTTGTGATTATAAGAATATTAAAATAATTAGGGAGGTCCCGATCCGATCACATGCTCGGAAATCGGCCCCGATCACGTGGTTTCAGACTCGATCGGGACTCGGGCTTTACTTCCCGATCCAAGCCCCAATCCGGACTCGGATGCTGGGTTCAAATTACAGGAGAGCAACTTGGTTCTCCTTAAAGGTTGTCAGGCTCTCCTGATGCCCTTAACTTACACACCCAGAAGGAGCACAAAAGAAATCCAGTTTCTACCTTTATTATATTATTTATATGGACTCAGCGTGGTTCTTTTGGGCAGAGATGCGGAGAGCTGCAGGCAGACCGCTGATGATTCATGAGCTGCGTTCTGCACACGGCCACAGTAACATTTTCTAAGTTTCTAAGTGGCGACACCAAAGATATATAATTAACACACAGTCGTTCGTGTCCGTTCATTTTCTCTCTGGTAAGTTCTGTCTGTATTTGAGCACGACGTGTGGACGCGCTCGCGCTGCAGCCCTCCTCACTGGCGCAGCCGGGCAGCGCGGCGCACACTCCGCTTTTTTTGCGGTCAGTAGATCAATTTGATCTGCTAGTTAAAAAGTGACTTGTGAGGTGAAAAAGAAGGAAGCAGGCAGGAATTTTTCTGGAGGACTGGGAGATGCAGGAAGATCAGAGACAGACAGGACAGGAAGACAGGAAAATAAAAACCAAGAAAACAAAACAAAGTTCTTAAAAAACAAAATGTAGGTAGATTGATCCCACTACACGTTTGTACCTGTATAAAGCAATAACTTATGAGCATGTAGTATTTATATAGTTGATACAATTCAGAACATCTTCAAATCTCCGTCCCATGTCCAGGGGCGTATCTAAGCATTTTGGGGGCCGAGGCAAAATAGACCCCTGCCAGGTATTTTAAGTTGAAGTGCTATCTGCTTTTATATTAGACTTTTTATGTTTGCAATAAAGTCCAAAAGTGAAGAATTTATGTTATTTATTACTTGATTGTTCAAGCTACCCCACAGAAGTGATCTGTTGTTAAAAATTAAAATAAAAAGTTAATTAAATAAAAAAATAAGGAACATTCTGGGACTGTTTCTTCCTTTTCTTAATTTTTTTTAATGTATCGAAAGTATCGGATCGGGACTCGGTATCAGCAGATTCTTAAAATCAAATGACTCGGACTCAAGGGCAAAAAAACCTGATCGGCAATCCCTAAAAATAATCTATTTAAAACAAAAAAAGTTCAAATCTAAATTTTTTACTTTGACCATACAAAGAATATTACACTTTCTAACCAAATTTATCTTTACTATTTAAAGAAGAAATCCAGATTTATTTTTTTTTGTCAGGTGGCACCAACTAGAGGTGGGAAAATGTATTGCACCTTTAAGCCCCTCACCCTACTTCGGTGATTACAGCTAGATGCAGCTCCTCTCATTTGTGAACGCTCACCTCTAGGTAAGAATTACTTGCCCATAAGAAATATTGCCAACTCAGTCTAGGTACTTCCATAAACGAGTGCACGCTCTAGTCACATCTGTACATAAGTGGATGACTAATGCTATTGGCTAACACTGCGTGGTGCTCAATTCAAACTGCACGAAGCTCTATGGGATGAAAACAGGCTTAGCACCAAAAATGCTGACATAAATTACATCGCAGTGCAAGGTACGACCATCACTTCATCTATTTTTTACATAATTCCCGAAGGGGTGAAAACTCCAGATTGCTGCTTTCATTCCCAAATGTCATGAATTGTCTTTTTTTTTAGATTCTGTTGGAATTAAAAGGGGAAGTGAGAAGACATGAGAAATATCTTGCAAATACTTTTGTAGAGTGCATTCTGCTGAGTCCTCCCACATGTCACCTTCCTGTAAGACAGTAGGAGAGTTTACACTGCCAACTACAAAACAGAGACGCCCTCTCCAGAGCTTGTTTGTTCTGGACTGCTATGGAAATGCAATGAACTCTGCAGAAAAAGGTCATTTGTTGTCTTTAGATATAAATGGCTCATTCTTGCTTCTTGGCTTGTGATTCAACAGAAATACTAACAGAGGACTTTTATACATGTCTCTTCTCTGCTTTTAATTAATGCACACAAAAACTTTTAAGTGCTCGTCTATTTATTTAAGTGTTTTTTTGGAGTTTTCTTTTAAAAAACTTAATATTTAACTTTCACTTTTCCCCTAAAACTATAGCCTGGCCTGCCAGACTCCTCCTCTGTTTAATTCTGCACAGAGAAAGGGTCAGGGAACTCTCCTATTCAAATAACCCCGCCCCCTGAGAATTCTAACCGAGCCAATCAGCGCCGAGTAACGTACGTCACACCACAACGCCGAGTTTGTCATACACATGGCGACTGTAGCGGAGTTCGCTGCGGCTCTTTCCACTGTTCTAAATGACTTAGACACGTCTTTAAAACAACACGCAGAAGCACCAAAAGCCTTTCTTCTAAAGAAAGATGTTTGCACTGTCGCCAGACGCCATTTTTGACCACAGCTATAAAACCATAGCGTTGCGCAGTACAGTCTGTATTTCCGTCTTTTTTCTGATTGGTTATTATTGAGTTGCCTAGTCCCGCCCCCCATATGCCCCTCTGCCTGTGAGTAACCAGACTCTTCCTCTGTGTAGAATCAAACAGAGGACGAGTCTGGCAGGCCGGGCAACTAAAACTAGGCTGCAGAATGGTAAATTTTAGGGCTGCACAATATATCGTAAATATATCGTTATCGCGATATCAGCATGCACAATATGCATATTGCAAAGAACAGATCAATATCGCAATGAATGGTCAGCTGAAATGTTAGCTACACATAATGCATTCTGTCAATCAAACAGAAGCATGATGTTTTTTTAACAAATCAAATAGAGCTCTTCACCCATTTGGCCAATTGGGTGGGTTCTCATAGGTCAGATGCCCGCCCCCGAGGCGGACGGCACTTCATTTTAATGGTTAGCAAACACCTGAGTTAGCTTTGTTCTGCTCTTTTTGCTGATTCTGATTTTCCCGGGATCTACAGATCATATTTTCTTGATCATTTTCATTTTCCCTTTCCTGACATCTTTTGCTTTTCTCATTTTTATGATTTTTTTGATTTCTTTGTTTTTGATTCCTTTTGTTCCTGAGTTAAGTTTTTATTTATCGCAAGTTATACCGTCATTGCAATATTAATCACTGTTATCAATTATCGCAGGTTTTCCTAATATCGTGCAGCCCTAGTAAATTTAGATTAGGATTATTACAGACACAGGTAAAATATATTTATATAAAGTGGAACAGACCCCAGAGGACAGAAGGCTATTCTGCTGTTTTACACCAGATCCTGTATACCTGACTAGGTCCAGTTTCATTTTACCACAGGTGGCCCAAAAACACACCTCTAACAACTGTACTCAATAGTTAAAGAATAAGCCTGCATCCTGACTAGAGGTCAACAGATCTTGGTTTTATATATACAGTACATCTTCCCATTCAATGTGTAGTCTTTATTTTCATGACCATTTACATTGGGAGATTCACACTGAAGGTGAGCTCATCAAGAGAATACTAAGAGTGCACAAAGCAGTAATCAGAGCAAAGGGTGGCTATTTTGAAGAAAATAGAATACAAAACATGTTTTCAGTCATTTCACCTTTTCTGGTTAACTCATTCACTGCCATTGACGACTAAAGTCGTCATTTGCATTTTTTTAACTGTGTGAGCGTCGGACGAGCCCCCGCACCGTGAGAACAAACGTCTCAGCTCTAAAGCCGATCTTCATCAGCGTACGTCACACGTCACGTGATCAGGAAGCAGAACATCCATGTGTTAGGAGATCGTTTTGGGCCGCTGCTGTAAGATAAAGTGAGGCGCGAACCAGAAAAGCGTCTGGCGATCACATTTTGACAACGGACTATGAAAGAGCGGATAAAGCTCGAAACGCTCGGATTCTTCCTGATGTAAGAGGTGAGTCTCCGCTTTGATTTGGTTGTTTTGGCGTCGACATCATCCTAGCGTGCAACGTTCTGTCACTCTTAATAAAACAGTAAAAACGGTGAGAGACGCTGGCAGCGAAGGCCTTTATCGATCAGGAAACAGCTGGCAGCGAACGAGTTAAGTACATAACTCCACATGTGTTCATTCATAGTTTTGAAGCCTTCAGTGAGAATTTAATGTAAATGGTCATGAAAATAAAGACAACACACAGAATGAGAAGATGTGTACAAACTTTTGGCCTGTACTGTATGTATGTATATAAATCACCTCGTGTATGTATATATATATATATAATATATATATACATATATATATATATATAATTATTTATTTATTTGGAATCTTTTGTACTTGTGAAGCACCTCGTGAGTTTTATCTCGACAGGCGCTATATATCGTCTTCTTCCTAAATCTCACCAGTGGAGCGGGGTCAAACTGAAGAATGACGTGATGCAAAAAGACCAGCAAGTGAGTCGGATGTTTTTTCAGCTCCTTCATGTCGTTGAAGTACGTGCAATTGTCATCTAGCAGCTGTGACGGACAAAGAAGAACAACAATAAAAAAATGGGAACTAAATGAGACAAACTTGAAAGATGTGAATGAGTGAGAACCTTTAGGATCTTTTCTTTTACTCACGTCTGTCATGTCATTCTCAAAGTCTTCATCTTCAACCCCGATGATGTCCATGGCTGAGTTAAGGCCCTGAGCTCCAAACATACCCAGCTAAGAAGAGACAAATGGAGGGAGAAAAACAAGAAATTATAAAATATCGTGTGTTCCACTTTGAACCGGTGCTGTTTTTGTAACCCTTCTGAGTCCCTGCTGAGCCGAGAAAGACAAAAAGACTTATTGTGGTGCAGAAATGGCCAAACTTTTCCAACGGAAAGGAGCTTTAAGCACACAGAATGTTCCAGCTTTCAAATAAAGTCTCAAAAATTGAACATAAAGCATACAACTGTCCCATTCATGCTGCTTGAACTCATACGGAAATACAAAACAAGCAACGAAGTGTGGATTTATTCGTCACTAATTTTAAAACGAGTAATTTAAATATATATTTTTTTCTTGAATCATTAAGGTTAGGGAACGTTTGCACAATTGGGGGAAATTCATTTTCGCTAATAACTGCATGACATAAAACCCACACGTCTAAAAATAAAAACTCAGCTAACATCACAACCCTTACCTTTGAAATGTCTGAGTAAGGTATTAAAAAAAGCATCAGATCATAGAGCAGCCTTTTCTCCACCCTCCACACATCACCACTTCCTCTTCCCCCAAAACACACAAACAACACGGCCCTTGAATTGAGCCCTCTGAAGGCCACAGACCCTGGGTCGCCACCAGGGAACACCCACATACACAAAAAACACACATCAAACAGCTACGCTGCACAGCGCTGGGTGAGGACAGTGGACGGAGTGTGAGACGGTAAAGTAAAGAGAAAATGAAGCAACGCGTGTCGACTGGACGCCAGTGCTCCAGCAGAAGCCTCTTACTGGAGCTTCTGAAAATCTACAAGATATTTCAGAAAGTCCTCTCTTTCAATAGACTATATCAAGATCATTTATGCACCAATATCGGTTTTTATTTGACTTTATTATTATCTATTTTGGCTTTATTGCACCTTTTTTTACACATGCTCTTTTAGAAGCATCCTCATTTTCATTGCCTTCTCTTTTTTGTTACAGAACATATTAGTGTCTAAAATGTGACCAAAACAGAAACACGTGACCTTTACTGATCATTTCATTGCTTCCTTCTTAAAAATGCACTTATGTTTAGAATCCAATGCCAGATTTGATCATTAAAAAAAACAAGTGGTGTGAAAATGTTACTTTTTACAGAAAAAAAAAATAAGGTTGGGCCTAAAGTGATGATGGACGACATATTTGCACAGAAGACATTTAGACATTCTGTGGCCCCGACATGCTCCATGGAGCTCCACTAATCACAATCGTTCTTACTCAGTTTGCGGGAGAAAGCCACGAGGGTTCCACGTGACACTTGGCTGTTTTCCAAATCATTCCAAACGTGTTGGTTTGGGAAGATGCCACTCAAAAGTGTGAGGCTGACATTTGGATGCTAACAGGGAAAATGTTTTAAGCTAGCCTGTTTTGCAGATTGGCCAGTGTAGCTTTTATGCTGCATGATCAAAAGAACAGGAACCATCTGATTTATGAGCTCACTGCATCATGTGCACTGTTAAACATCTAATAAAACCCCATTAATGCTAAATATTTACTCGTCTTAGAGCTACGCCACCATCTACATACTAATTCCCAGTAAGAAAGTCTCGGTCTGCAATCTGCTTTTTAAAAACGTTGTTGTGCAGTTAAGAGTCCAAATGCTAAACCAACAGAACTATTTCTGCATAGTTTTCTGCAAGACCACCCCCCCAAGACTGGACACTCAGTATCTGACATGCTGTGTTTTTGTACTCATGTAAACCACTTTCAATGGGATTTAAGTAGTTTCCAGATGCATGCTGCAAACCTTTCAAATATGTCAAAAACTGTGCCAACTGTATCTTTAATCTAAGGTAATGGCACTTATCTGAGCAGGAAGTTTCATATTTCTGTTAAGGCATTAAAAAAGTAAATAAACTCTGTAATTTCATTATATATTTATAGATGATTGCAAAAGTATAACCTGACACATCCAATTAAATGGGTCGACGTGAGGTTATGCAGGCTATGTAATCTGGAACTGAAAAATCATTGTGTTTGGAAGGAAATTTAGATCCGTGCACAAGGAACATTTGCTCTGCTGTCTGAATGTGGTGTTTGTCTACGGTGCTGGTGCTCGCTGGGGGGGGGGGGGGTCTGATAAATGCATTAAGGTCGAGGTGAGGTCCTGTAAATGGTCAGACTGAATCAGAGCTGGTGAGATAGTGAAACAGAGACAAAACACGCACGCACGCACGTACACACACACACACACACACACACACACACACACACACACACACTGAATGTGCTCATTCATGGTCTTATCCAGTGGGCTGCGGGGTTGAGGAAGGCCAGTGCCGGAGCAACATGCGTAGGAGGGGTTAGCTAAACAGAGAGACAGGCCCGTGAGAGCCATAGCTGCACATCTGCATGGGCACAGACAAATATAGACACACAAGCACAGATGCAACTTCTTTTTTATTCCACGCATGCACAAACCCTGAGCCACAAACATCTAAATAAATTAAACTTTGTACACGCGCACGCCGATGAACACGGTTTCACAGGCGGGAAAGAAAAGCTCACAAAAAGATACAAAAATCATCATCTTAATGGTGTGGAACAATGAAAAAACATTTTAAAATTAGTTTTTCTGATAATAATCAGTCACTCTGAGTTTTTCATCCAGGCTGAACATGGAAATAGTCTCCTACACCTATCTCCTGCATTAGCTTCTGATAGAAAACAGACGGTGAAACTCTAGGATTAGAAAAGCTTGACAGATGCCCAAATATTAGGAAATAAGACTCCAAATTCAGTCATCTGAAGCTCAGCGCTGATCTGGCTCATTTCTAGTTCCTGAAACAGGCGCACTGGGGCTTTGTTTCCCCTGGGCAAGAAGGAATTCATTCCTACTAGAGACAACTGCTAACCCTGATTAAACGAGTGTTCCGCACCTTTAAAGGGCTGTGACTGGTTTTTAACTTCGGAGCATGAGTATCAGGCCATCGCTGTTATAATATTTGGAACGGGTTGGAAAAATTTGCTGGATAGTCATGGTTGCCGTGCACATCCGGAATCCATCTAGAGCCCTTTTCAATGTAATTTCAGAAATGCAGTGACAGAATGTAACGAAGTTACTGAGTACAGTGATCCCTCGTTTATCGCGGTAGATGCGTTCCAGACCTGGCCGCGATAGGTGAAAATCCGCGAAGTAGGGACACCATATTTACAGTATTTATTTAACAGGTATGTATTCAGTATTCAGACTTTTAAAACCCTCCCTTTACATAGAAAATATTTTTACTTGGTTTTTTTTTATAGTTTTATTACAAAAAGTGCATTTTATGATGAAATTGATGAAAAAAAAGGAATTTCTTGGTATTTCGCATAGAAAAATACCGCGAATCGGCGAATTTCCCTTGAATAAGGCTCCAAAGAAAAAATCTGCGAAGTCGTGAATCCGCGATAAACGAACCGCGAAGTAGCGAGGGATCACTGTATGTCATGTTGTTTCGTGGTCCAGCAGCATGCGGAGACAGTTCTCAACTCTTGTTAAGTTACAGATCTCGGAAGCTCTAAAATGTTAGACTTTTCTGCTTTAAAATCACTTGAATGTTTATTGTTTGGACTGTAAATAGTTTTTTGATCTGCGAAGGAGCTCCCAGAGTGGAAACAAAGTGAACAATTTCTATTTAAGTCTCGGTTCGCTGCTGAATTTCAAACGCATTGCAAAAGTAGCTCCTGCTTTGATAACCTTCAGAAAAGCTGATGGCTGCATCCCTGTTCATGTTTCAACGTTTTCTGTCTGCCTGCTGCAGGAGGTGCTGAAGCCAGATCTCTGTTTATGTTATGTCTCGGCTGATTTCAGAGCAACTGTAATACATCCTCGTATTCTGAGGCAAATCGGAGTAGGCTGGGGGAAGCTCATTGTGGTTACTCAGGAGGAAGTCGACAAGGTCAGTTCCCCTTTATGTTTTGGAGCACCGGGCCGAAGAGAGGCAGAGCCTGGACTAACTAGACAGAGCAGCAGCCAGCATATGGCACAGTTCGGCTAACAGATGGAGACGGTGTGAGTTTCAACAATAAGCAGACCCCCCTCCACTCATCATCACATGATAGCTGGAGTACGCTCCAAACTGTGAGGGCTGTTACTGGCAGCCATCGTTGAAGAGGCACGCAGGCATGGAGTCTTTGAACCGAGCGTCCCAGAAGTGAGTAAATCAATTCTGGTACTCCTGAGAGTCAGCAGCTGCCCCCCCCGCCCCACCCATCGCATGCCAGTGCTAAGTGTCAGGTGGCATCAATCTAATGATAGCCATCAGGCGCATGAGCCTTAGTGTGTGTGAGAGTTGACTGCACAGGGACGGGGTCACTCCTGATAATAGGAGTCGTCCGTGTGTTTTCTGTGACAACTGATCTGTACGAGAACATTCAGCTCCTTTGCTGACAAGCCAAAGTCTAACGTCCTTTAAATGGGAGAAAATAGAGGCATTAAAGTTCCACTTGGCGATCGTGGGCTAATAATAATTCGGTCTCTGTTACATCAGCCCACTTCCTTTGTGAAACATGTGAAACAATTAGCTGTTTAAGTGAACTCTCCTCAGACCGTGACCTCAGCCCAGCGTGGGCCTCTTCAGGATCCGCACTGCAATCAACAGAGAGGCAAACGCCTGTCAAGCTCCTGCAATCACATGACTACCAGGAGGCGGGGACGTAAACGTACTGATGGGAAAACAAACGCTCAAGTTTAGGCCACATAAAACGTTCTGTGCCGTGAGGAGCTGGGTGAATTTTTCAGAAAGGATCGAGACCAACAACAGCAGTTCACAGGTTCGCACGAATGACCTCCACAACAAAACAAGTGTTCACCCACAGCTGAAAGTCACCCCCACAGCATGCCACAAACCGCTGTGAAAAGAAGCTTCAGCAACAAGATAAGTGCTCTAAAGAATACGAACACCTTTGATAAACACTCTAAACTCAATGGTGTACTACAGAGAAGACTGCTTGTTTTATTTTTTATATGCATGAACTTTGCTCACCCCTCCC